CTTACTTTAACCTATTAATTATAGGCATTTCATGTTTATTTGCTATATTGACCTGGTTTGCTATATTGGCATGATGAATTGCCACATATGCTGGGCACCATTTTAAGTAAGCAACCCCTCATGGGTTTATAGTGTGTCACCCAAAGCTGGCTATCAGGGGTTATGCAAGGGTTAACCAACCTTAGCATTACTTTGCTGTAGAATTATGCAAAGATTGTTTAACCCTTGCCAAAAAAAAAAAAAAAAGCTGATTTCAGATAATGTCCCACAATCCCTCTGGGAGTTACTCATTCAAAACAGTGCCTGGTATATGCCATGGTTCATATGGATTATAAAACTGATGGGTGAGCCTGGCATGTTCTACAAACTAGGTCACTGTTTCTATGAGGATGGGGCTGTACTGAATAAAACAGAATGGTGTAACTCTGGATAGCGGAAAACAAATTATCCAGTATGAAGTTTTCCTATAGTTCATAATTAATCTCCAGGATTGTCATGGCTGTCATAGGAGTAAGCCTATATTAGACTATTTTACAGGTTTATTCTTTATAGGTCAAAAAGGAAAGCATGCAAAATATATACACTGCAAAACTTGATACAAAGCTCTAAGGAAAAGTGTAACGTACTCTAGTTATACATTAATATGTTTAGTAGTCAAATATGCACCATTGTTTAGAAATTAAGGAAAAATAGAAACTTGACTTAAAACAATTATTTAAATCAGAGTTTTTTCTTGTTGATGTAAATCAGCCCACCCCACTCTCTTAGCAACACTTACAATTCACCAGCATATAGATGCAATTACAACATTTATATGGAATACATAACTGCTTGCCTCAATAATATTAATCAGATATTCTCTGATAATGACTGCAAAGGAAAGTGTAGTTGAGAATCTCTTGTTCTTAAAATAGTATTTGCCCCTTCCTTGAACTCAGAAACTCAATATACCACTGAAAATGTGAGAAGGAACACTGAAACACAGAAACTCAACTTTTATGAATGTAAACCCCTCCCCACTCTAAATCAATAGTACATATCCTATACATGTCTATTCCGAAACTCCACCGTATTCATTAGTGTTTATTTGCCAGAAAGTGGGTATGGGACTGTAGTCTTACAGTGTTTTGTGCTGAATTTCAACTTAAGACTGCCAAGATTTAGTATTTAAACAATTACAGGTTTAATACAATTACAGCTTTTTTAAAGACCAACGTAAAATATTAAAAGCTCATGCTATATTTTAGATGGTCAGATAACTAGGTTGGCATATTGTAAAGCATCAAAGAACTGAAGGAGACAATCCAGTTGTTCCTTTGGGTACAGCAATATGGGCAATCAACAAGACACGTGAAGAAGATAGTGAGAGAGGTTAAGTTAGGAATTTCATGGACAGGTGTGGGTTTTTGGAAGATACTGAATTTGAGAACTCTGATGCCTATTTTTTCAAGTACGTTTGTCATAACAGGTTTTCCTGTAGCCAAAGTGCACTTTCTGCAGTTTAAATACTATATTCAAACAAATTCAAAATGCTTTACTTGCATTACATTACTAATTTTATACAGCAATGCAATTTTGAAATGGATTTTTCTACACCTCAACACTGGCAGAAAATAAGGATACAGTAAGGGAATTGGATAATTTATCCTAGTAACCATGTTCTCATTAAGGCAGTTGGTAAGGAACCTGGGTAAGGCAGGGGTGAGAACCTGTTGCCCTCCAAATGTTCTTGGACTACAACTTTTATCTTCTCTAATCACTAGCTATACTGGCTGAGAGTGCTGAGGGAGTCCACAACATCTGGAGAGTCACTATGAAATGAACCTTTTAATCACAGTCTAGTAGTTCATTCTTCATTCCATTCCAACTTTAAGTATTTCGCCTATGTTTGCATATAGAGTATATATTCAGCAACAAGTTTTCAAATTATTCAGTAGCATTAAAGAATTACGGTGTGCTCTTGTAAATATACATTAGTAGCATCATCCATTAACAATTTCAATAATAAATGCAAAATATAATAAGCTTGTTTATCTTAGGTGTCTCCTTACAGTATGGTAGAGTCCAACATAAAATTCCAAAATAAATTTTAGTTGGTATACAAACACGAATCTGGAAATAACAAAATTATTAAAGATTTATCTCCACAAATATATAGATGCACAGTAAAACCACCGTTACCTCATTGCATACATTCTTCACATGCATTCTTTGGACTGCCAACCAGTTAAACTGCAGAATTCAAAAAAGATTTACAGTGCATTATCTCAAATCCACAATCACTTCCTGTTGTAGACAGATTATCTGTCACCAAGTACAAGATAGAGAAAGGAAAGCAGAGAGGGACATTAATGATACAATTTTATAGAAACAGAATTGTTTCTATAAAACCATAGAATTGTTTTTATAGAATAGAAAGAATTGTTTCTTTCTAAACCATCACCAGAAACTACTCCAGTTCTGCCTAGTTTGCTTCTGTCCAATTATTCTGCAGTCATGAAGCCAGAAGTTTACTTTTGCCAAAAATTATAATGAAGGTTGAAGTAGATGTCAGATATTAATCATACATGCTCTGGTACAAACACACAATCAAATTATGGATACTGTGCTTCATATTTTAAGCAACATTTTCTTCTCACTCAAATGGAGCAATAATCTTAATCTTATCGAATTTCAAAAATGATGCAGACCTGAACACAAATTCACCCAGGACATTAAACTTGCATAAAAATCCAGTGAAACTGCAATGGTGCCAAGTGTGTTATGTGCAAGGCCTCATATACCTCAGTTGTGGACAGAAACACTGTGTGGTGAAAGAGCAGAACAAGGGAGTGAAAACACTGTAGGACTCTGCTCATCAACAGCACCAAACAGTCAACCCCATTTCTTAAACTGCATCAATGCTGCAAGGAGGGAACTAACTAAAGACCATCTCAGAATACAGTAGTAAATACATTCAGAATATAAGTATTAATTCTGTTGCACGTCAAGAAACTCTGTGTGACAACTAGGAATAAAATGTCAAGAAGTTTAACTTGGCCTAAATTTTGGGACAGCCTTTTGTGGACACCCAATGGATCAGGATTTTAATATTCAGTATAACAGTAAATATTAATCTAAGCCAAAGTTTAAAAAGTTGTGCCTGTTTTAAAGAGTCATACATGTTGCTCAAAGCAAAGCATGAAGAGGCCATGTGCCCCTATTTTTAATTTGCTACTCAGTAAAAGTAGTTTTAGAGTAGAAATTGATATAATATTTTGATTTCAGACATCCTCCTGTACAACTATCAAGTCTTCTAAGGTACTTTCCCATAAACCAGAAACCTGAAACAAGATACAAATGTAATTCAGGACACTATAATGGCTATATTTTAAAAACAGAGATATATGCAACTCTCTCTTAAAGCAGAGAACCTGAAGCATAAACTGGAATAGTTAATAAACACATCACATTTTTATAGAAACCTTGTAATATTTACCTCACTGAGACCAGCATAGGGCAAGTCAACAATTTCCACCAACAGTCAGAAACAGGTATCATTGTGCTTGCATAATACAAGTCATATTTACAGTGACATAGATAAGAATCTGCCTCAGTATAACTGCTATTCAAGGTACACAAAATTTAAGTACACTAAAAATTACACAGCAAAAACATAGTATACAGGAGCAAGCAATTTCTGATCCTTCATGTTTTGATTTTAGCTTCCACCATCTTTCAAATTGGTTGTGGTGGCTACGACAGATGGGAATTGTAGTCCTTTAGCTGTTTCTTATTCCCAAGTACAATGCACATATGATTGTGGCCTTAGGCAACAAAGACCAGAATTTTTGCCTACCAATTTACTGCAGTTTAGAAAATTTGTTGAATTCTTCCATAACATGACTGAAGAATATCATTCTAGGATTCAGGCCATGTTAAAATATAAATTCTTTTATAGTGTTGTGCTCAATACAAACAAAATTCATAATAAAATAAATGTTGGAATTCCAGGACAAAGTTAAATTTTATGTGCACTTAACACTGTATTTAAACCAATGACAAACACAGACACCGATAAAAGAAGCCACAAACCCCATAATGATACTGCATTATTCATATGCAACCATCTCATAAATTTGGGTTACCCTATGCCTGAACTACAAGTACAAACTGTAGCTGTGGGAATTTTGGTTTCGTATGAAAATTTTGGAATTAGAAAATCAATGGCTGCACTTGAAGGCTAACTCATTTTTATGCAGAATTGCGGAGGCGGGATTATACTTTTAAGAAGATACCTTGAAATGTCATCGGCTATAAGACTTCCCAGTTGTAACTGATGTCACAAAAAAGATCGGTATGCAAAATCATGCTGCCAGCAAGACGTTATTCCTTTTTATGGGTATTCCTTTCAATGTTTATAAATCTTGTGTTCCATACTTAGCGTAGCAGAGCCAGGTTTTTTTTAATATATCACGTGATTAAATACCATGCATTCAGCAAGTTATGAAAACTTCTTAGGTCGTGGTGGTAGTGGAGAGAAGCTTGCTTTTTCATAATTAAAAGAGGACCTTTTATAGTTCTTAAGTTTTTAAAGAGGGTGTGTGTGAAACGGAGAGAGAGCTAGAATCTCAAGCATTAAAGTGTTCAGCCACCAAGGTAAAGAGATACACACCAATGAAGAGTAAGATGAGCACGTCTTTACAGCTCTTGCAAATGTTACTTTTCTCACTTTGTACCGCAGCCAAGAAACCCTACATGTTTGCGAGATATACTGCTATGAGGCCTTGTTTCTCCAAGAAAGCCGGTTCGGAGAAATAATCCGAGCAGCTGCTCATGCCTTGAGCGAAGGCAGCGCACTCAGACCTTGTAGGGGCAAGGAAAGACTCTCGAGGTATGTGTGTAAGTGGATTTTGCTGCAAGTCCGGTCGGCAGCGATCCGCCTTGGCCGAACAGTGCAAACCACAGCAACGCTCACCCCCTCCCCCTTTCATCCCCGCCTCCCCAACCTTCTGACTCACTCTTGGTGGCAGCGATGAGGTTCTTGCCATCCTTGAGTAGCTCCTTGATAAACTTGTTGGTTTTTTCCAGCTCTGCCTCGTGAGCTCTGACCCTTTCCCGGAACACGGGACTGTCGAGATAGCAATCGCTGAACTCCAAGGGCTGCAGTCCCATGGCTGATGAGCAGCAAGAAGGCGGTTATACCACACTCAAGACAATCCCGTCTTCGCTTCGCGTCCGCAGCAAGCCTGTCGTCTTGTCCTCCTCCTCCTCCTCCTCCTCCTCCTCCTCGTCCAGCCCAGCGCAGCTCCCCACAGCGCCTCACCAGGGCAAAGCAAGCGACAGAGCAGTACAGCACCTCCCAAACCCCAGCATGGGCTCTGGGTGTCCTCACCAGTTACAACCAACGTAATTACAGAAGAGAAAATGTGAGAGGGAAAAGAGCTCGTCTTTAAACAGCCCTTGGGGGCGCTCCGCTAAAGGTCAAGGCGCAGGGATATAAACGGCATTCCCAGTCAGAAAAACCGCTCACCGTACCACGACTGCGGCGGGGGAAAACGGCAGCGCGCGGCAGCATTTCAGCGCGCGCTGGAGAAGACGGCGGCTCCGCCCCGGCATCCTGAATCCTCCTCCCGCCCACAGCTGGTCTCCGCCTGCCTCTCCGCCAGAGGCGTCTTACCCAAGTCCAACCTTGTTGCTCGGCTCATGCGGGTCTCACGCTCTGCTCGGGGCGAGCGGGGCTTCCCTGCAGCTCCGACTAAGCAAACCGGGAAGACCTACTCAGGTCTGTTTAAATAATGCCTATGTTAGTTTGGGGGCATTTTTATCTCTCGCTTCCATAAAATGTTCCCAGACCAGCGTATAGCAATATAATCAATTTTAAAAATACTAAAATCAGGAAAATAAACAGCCATGGCTATCAGATGTTTCCAAACGTCCGTGAAAAGCAGTAACTGGCATCGATAACCCTGTTCATGCTGAGTTGGGAGTAAGTCCCCTTGAACTCAATGGGTCTGAGTAGACCTGCATAGGTAGGATCGCGGGGAAAGCACCATATTTAGTCATAAACCTGTACCTACTTTCCTCCGAGTATCCTTTTCAACTCAGTGGAGTTTCTTTATGACTAGAGATATCTGCCACAGCTATGTGTTTACAAGAGCTGAGCAGGCTGCTGAGGACAGGACGTTTTGGAGGGCATTCAATTCATAGGGTCGCCATTAATCGGAGGCGACGGCTCGCAACAGCAGAAGAGTACAGAACCGCAAGCTTAGCTTGCAGTCCTGTTGCACCTTTACCAGGAATTTATTCCAAGGTAAATCATTACTTCCGAAGGAAGGTGCATAGGACTGTACCATTTGCCGTTAATCTGAGTAAGAAGAGGATTCCTAAAGCTTGTTTAAAGGAGCCGAGCTTCGGACTTCAACAAAAGGCCATAGGCTGCAATTCTATGCCTACTTTCTGAGGTGTAACGCCCATTGACTGCAGATTGCGCTGTCAAAGACACAACATGTAGTGCGGCAAAGACCGTCATTGACTGAACAGTTGTTACACGGACAGCGGTAAAACCCAGGGAAGCCTAAGAGTGAGGAAGAAAAAGGCAAGGGCCGACTGCCGCTCGCCTCGCACCGCCCCTCGCTCCTCAGACGCTGCTGCTCCACCTCCTGCCGAAGGCGGAGCTTCTTGCCGCCCGCCTTCTTTCTCCTCAGTCACGATCAACACCCGGTAAGCGCTCTGCTCTTGTCCTGTTCTAGGAAGTGCTGAGAGAAGGAGCTGGAGTGGGCGGGAAAATTGGGCGGGGGGGGGGGGGGGTGGGGGGGGGGGGGGGGGGGAAAAGTGGGGGGGGGGGGGGGAGAAGAGTGTGTCGTGTGTATGGAAGGGAAAGGGAATTCCCATCAAACGTTTTTTGTGGGGCGACAACAACCTCTTCTTCCCCTGCCCCCGTCATCGTTACGACACGGAGGCTTCTCAGCCACAGAGGCCGCTGCCCAGTTAAGCTACCGCAAATGCCTCGCATTGCCTCAGATGCCACCTCTAGTTTCAGGACACGCGCGTGCACAAGGGGCAGCTTGGGAGTCCGTGAGAGACCAAGGCCTTGTGCTGGCATCTTTATTCTCCCCATCCTAGTAGGGCTAGTTGCCAGTCTGAGTCCAGGTTTTCTCTGTTCCTAGTCGTTTACCGTTCACACGAGAAGTGGGAAGGCGCAAGCTAGGTCCGCTGTACTTTCTCAGCCTCTGCTGTCTTGCTGCAGTCACCTCTTCTTCTTTCCCGTCTTCCCGACAGCCTTCCTGATATTTTTTCTTTCCTTTATCTTTGCCAACTCCAGTCACAAGTTGGGTGAAACTGGTAATAATATCAGATAGATCTAGATAATAATGCTATGTTTATCAGTTATTACTATCTAGATCTAGTTCTTTCCCATTTCGTGTCTGCTTTTGGAAAACTTCTTTGCTCATGCACTGGGATGTCTTTGTTGAGTACAAATGTGTTGATTCTCTTGGAGCCATGGAAGAACTGCAAGCTCTGTTCAGTTCAGGTATTTATAGCAAATTCCACAGGTTAGAATTCTGTAATTCTTGATTCGTATCTTTTGCACTAGGCTGCAGTAGGTGGAACTTGGGGTTCTGTGAAAAACAGATCCTGCAAAACTGCAGTTCAATTGCTAAGAGAACAACATTTGAGGGAAAGGGGGGAAACCAGATCTATCTAGAGAAGTTACTGAAGAGCAGAATGAACAGACATACCCAGAGTACCTTTAACTGGTGAGTATGCATGTGAATCTCGCAGCTGCTCATTCCCACAACACAGGTTTATTGAAACCAAGTTGCACGGTTAGTGCCCATTTCTGAACTGGAATATATCAGTGTATTCAATCCCCCAAGGAATTTCAGTGAAGGGGTACCCAGCCTGGAACCAAGTGTAGTGGAGAAAAGGACATGGCAATAGTGAGTGCCACTGAGTGATGCCATTTTCTGCTGAACCCTTGAACCAAGAAGCACGGTTAAAGCCTCCCATCAATCATGCAGAATTGTGGGCATAGCTCTAAAGCAGTGGTGGCGAACCTATGGCACACGTGCCACAGCAGGCACGCAGAGCCCTCTCAGCACATGAGCCAAGTCACCCCAGCTTCACCCCAGCAGCCGAGCGTCAAATAACAGTGCATATAGGGGCCATGCGCATGCTTGGAAAGGAGTAGCAGTGCCAGGTGATAATGTCACAAGCTGCGACTCATTAGCCGTGACCCATCCAAGCTTTTGCATGGCCTGTCAGTGAGCTGCCAATGAGAGAAAGAGAGAGATTTGCTTGGACTGGCTGTGAGTTCTTTCTAAACTAAAACTTCAGTTTTCAGGTTTTATTGCAGTGTTGCCACTTTACGATAAACAAGTGGGTTTTGGGTTGCAGTTCGGGCACTCGATCTCTAAAAGGTTCACCATCACTGGGTTAGGGTTAGAAAAATGAGGTGTCCTGGTAAGATTTTGATGGTTGGAAAGTGTTTAGAATGGGCAGAAATGAATGTGCAGAAAAAGCTACTCAAGGAAGGCTCTTTCAAAATTGCTCTGTTTTCTATGGTATTTTACTCCTATATTAGGGTGAGGGGAGTGCACCAGGGTAGGGTTAGGTCAGTGGTGGTGAACCTATTGCACAGGTGCCACAACGGGCAAGAAGAGCCCTCTCTGTCGGCATGCAAGCCAAGTCGCCCCAGCATCCCCCCTGAAACCCACCTCCACTCCCACTGTTGAGAACCAACATGCATCCTGTTTCTAAAATACATGTAGTGCTGATTAATCCTACTTTTATAAGTGCTTTACTGAACTGTAGTGTGAAAAAGAATACAAAGATTGGGGAAAAGTGGATTTATAAAGAAGCATACCTATGCATATTTAAAATATATATTTTAATGATTTGCATTGCAATTCAGAAATACTCTGATTAGATTAATTAGCACATAATTCAGCTCTAATGCTGCTTAACTAAATGTTGATGCAGTCATTTTATATATAGCTTTCTCCTAATGCTACAATAAATGTTGTTTTCATTTAGCAGGGGAAATTTCATTTAGCAGGGGAGAGTTTGATTCAAAATGCCTAACTCTAAAAGCAGATCTCGGCATAAGCACAAAGTTGGTCAAGAAGCTGGGAGACGTGAGTTAGTCTCTAGATCCTTACAAAGTGCTCAACACTGTTTGGAGGACCAGGACTTTGGAACTGCATATGCACACTATCTCTTGGTATTAAATCTAGCTCCTGAGCTTAAAAGTGATGTCAAGGTGAGCAACTGCTTTTGTTCAGGTTTTTTTGTAAGATGTAGCTATATGCTTACAGAGAGAAGATTATGCATGCAAAGTACATTATACCAATTTTAAAAAAACGTTTTATTTACATGAATAAATTTCTCAACACATCTGTCAATTTTCTTTAGGAAACTTTTCAGTTTACCCTTTTTAAATGGGCAGAAGAGCTGGATTCTCTTGCACGAATTCAAGATTTATTTGACTGTTATGAACATGCCTTGGAATTGTTTCCAAATGATGAAGTCATATGTAACAGCATGGGGGAGCATCTTTTCAGGTTTGTAGCTGTCCTTGTTGAGTTGCATTTTGATTAAGTCTTATAGCTTAGTGGCTCTCAAACCCACAAAGTCAGGAACACTCTGTTAAATATTGCGCAGAGTGATTAATTTAATATGTGATTAATGTCTGTTCACCAGTACTGTGAAAATTTGCATGATGTACTCATGCCACAAACCTTTTTCATTTGCAGCAGGGGTGGGCAATTTGTGTTCCTCCAGTTGCTTTAGCCTTCAGTTTCAATCAACCCTAGACAGCCTAGCCACAAAGGTGGGATGATGAATATTGAAGGCTAGAAGTCCCCAAGTTGTTCACTCATGATCTCCATGATGCAACTCAATTCTGAGACTGAATCACATGTTTATATCCACACTGTAACTTAAATCATTATCTACCACTTCCACAGTCCTAGTTATCATGTGTCCCCCAATGAATGATGGGTTAAGTCTTGCAGATATTTTGTTTTTCAGCAATTTAATTTCTAGTATTACGTTTTTAACTGATACTGTCATTTTTTTCCTGTTAGAATGGGCTTTAGGGATGAAGCAGCTGCATATTTCCATAAAGCTGTGAAGCTGAACCCTGACTTTCTTGAGGCAAAGGAGAATTTTTACCGTGTTGCCAACTGGGTGGTAGAACGATGGCACTTCATCATGCTTAATGACTTCAATCGAAATTTGTTATATCATAAAGCAATTCAAAAGGCAGTCAATTCAGGGTGCAGCAGTGTTCTTGATATTGGAACAGGAACAGGGATTCTCAGGTTTGTGGCAAGTTCATAGATAATGATATTGTGTTGGTGTTTATTTAGGCAGATTGTAAAATAGATAATAAATGTGCTTTGTTATTTAGTCTTTCAGACAGAAAATAACTCTACCTTTTCCTAGTTTTACTGGAGGATTACCAATCCCACTGAGGATGAGATGAACATTTTATGCTGCAGTTCTATGGAAACTAACTTCAAAGTTTCCATTGAATTCAGTATGATTTACTTCTGAGGAGGCTTGCAAGTGTTATACTCTTTATGTCCTTTCTGTATTGTATTTCACTGCTATAATTTTATAGCAGGAAATAGCATCAGACAACGTATTCTCTGCCATTGCTGTCAGTTGTCCGGCTACCCCAAACTGCTAGTGTGTGAGGTTCTGCTTCCTCATAGCAAATGAAGCTAGGTAGACCACAGTGGTACTGAATAGAAAAATGCAATTGCTGACCTGCCAGTTTTAGTTTGTTTTGTTCTAAAATGGATTACAGTAGTGTTTAACTGTGGTTTGGTAAAAAAAAATCATAGAATTTCATAATTGATATTACATATATTTTCTACTTGTGCCACAAATCAAATGTCAAAACAAATATTTTAATAAATTAAAGTGATTATTAATATTTTGTCTATGATGGTTTCTGTTGAACTTCTTTTACTATTTCAGCATGTTTGCCAAAAAGGCAGGAGCATCTTCTGTCTATGCTTGTGAGTTGTCAAAGACCATGTACAACTTGGCTTGTGAAGTGCTGGCTGCAAATAGGTTGGATGGAGAGATCAAACTTCTTCATATGAAATCCTTTGATATAGAAATTCCAAAGCACATACCTGAAAGGTTACTTCTTACATTTTATTGTGATATCTTGAATGACTACTCCATATTTACTCAGTTTGGTGATAAAACTTTCTCCAACAGAACGGATCAGGAGAACAAATTGCTGTTTTGTTTTTCACTGATTTTTGTATCAGAATGGACTTTTAACATGTACATTTTTATAAACCTTTTACTAATAAGTACTTCTGCTTAATAAGTTCCTTTCCTTTACTAATAAGTACTTCTGCTTAAATAATTCGTCAGTTAGTGTGATGGTTAAAGAAGTTACTCACTTAAACCTGTAGCCTTAGTTCAGTGGGGAAGGAGGTCCCACTGAATGCAATGGAACCTTCTCTTGAATAAATACAATGGCGCTGTAGAAAAGTCATCATGAAAATGAACAATATAACATATAGTTATAAAATGCTATTATAGCACAGCTGTAAAACTTCTCACCTCCTTCCCTCTCTGTCCTCCTGCAGATATCCCAGGAGATTCTGGAACAAAACTTGTCATCTTTTCTTTTTTGCAGTCATGGTGGCTTTTTTCCCTTTTTGAGAAATTGCTTTTCATGATCTGCAAAGTGACAATAATGTTTCCCTTCAAAGTGCCCTACTGTCACTTTCACAGAGTGGCTGTCACAGGTTTGCCGCCTTTTCTTTTGTGTCCAAGATTTGTGCAATTTATTTTTTGTAAAGTTCAAAGTGTGCAACTCCAATTTTCCCAAAAGTTCAGCCCTGCCTTGTCAGAACTCAGTATGGTGCATATTGCCAAAATGCGGGTGGCAACATTTATGCACATTAATAAAGCAAACTTACAAATATGTTAATTTCTTGCTTCTCATTTAACAGCTGAAATGGCTAGCTATCAAGCAAGAATCAAAAAAGCAAGGTGATCTTACCTTACAAATAAAGGTGGCAAGTAGATTACCCCTTTCAAGGCAAGCTCAGCAACAGTGGCAAAGGGTTTTTACCAGTCTTGCCAGGCGACTCACTTGCTGCTTCCCTCTACCCACTATGTGGTCAGTTGCCCAGGTTTAGGCAATCAGCAACCGATTGGGGGTACAACAACTGTTAGAATAAGCTAGTTATTAGGTTGGCTTGTTGCCCACAAAAAAGCTACCCTGTTCAAAGTAGTCCAGGTTTGCATGACGCCGCAGTCAGCTATGTTGTGTCATGAGAACTCGGACCGCGTATTAATAAACAGGATAAACTTTGTGTGCTTGCGATAAATGAACAATTTGTTAGCTATGCTGCTGTACTGTTAAAGAAGAAATGGTGATAATTTCATGCTGAAATGTTGTACAGTGCAGCTCTGTGCATTATCTAATGCAATTCTAAGCATGTATGTTCAGAGTGAAGTGCGATTGAATTCTGAGTGCTTACTCTTTACTTACTTGTACAAGACAATGTTTCTTTTTTTTTTTTTTTAAGGGCAGAATCTTATCCAAAAACAATTGCCTTTAAAACAGGCAGTGCTTTAAAACAGGTAGCACGGGAAGCTGGTCCTGCTTCTTGTATCAAAACAGTGACTGAGTAGAAGTGCCTGCAAGAGCATGTTTTATGACTTGGATGTAATACAGGCAAAGAGAGCAGTGGTAACTAGTGCAGCATTCCAGAGCTACAGTATCTCCTTGCTTTCCACATTCTCTTCCCACACCCTCCAAAAAGAAATGTTAACTGTTCTGGCATCTTAGAATACTAAGAGATCATTAAGCGATCAGATAAATCTTAGAAAGAATGCTGTTTTATCTCTTACTTGGCAGAAATGAACAGAAAAGGACTGTTTGTTTCAAGTTAGTGGATTAAGTCTGGCAAGTTTTATAATTTCTTTTATCAAAGAAGTAGCTTTAAATTTATTGAATTACTAATTTTTATAACTGTACATTTTTAATTTTTTAAAAAGGGTTTCCCTGGTTGTCACTGAAACAGTAGATTCTGGTTTATTTGGAGAAGGAATTGTGGAAAGCTTGATCCATGCTTGGGAACACTTGCTTTTACCACCAAAGGTGAGCATCTTCAGGAGTCCAAGACTTGATCCCCATTATTTTTTTTTGGTATTGTGGCTGCCACTGCTAGTTGATAACGTTCAAGTCTCCACCTTGTTGTAAGAATGTTTAAAGGTTTTTTTTCTAACTGTTTTAATATTTTAAAGTCTATAAGATAAACATTGAACTGGGTATATGAATCAGAGACATCAAATGCATATTAGACTTCCAGATTGCACTAGAAGTTCACTTGCCAGTACAACAGCTTTCAAGTGCCAATGGCCTTGACATGGAGACTTGCCATACAGTCCAACAGAATCTCATGAGAACATACACTTAAATGTCCTCAGAGTCCAGATCATGTAGAAAGTTGTTGATAACCACATTTTGATTGGATCTGTGTTTGTGATCTACCCAACTCTAACTTAAGTCCCATTCAGTGAGCCTGTTTTAAGGAAGACTAAAATTAGATAGAACCCCAACTAATTAAAGCTACAATGACAATTTTAGATTGTCAAAATGTGGTCATTGACAAAGTTCTGTGTTTCACTGGTAGTGCTATACATGTTTAATCAGAGGTAAGCCACATTGAGTTCAATGGAACTTAGATGTAATTGTGTGTAGGATTGCAAGCTGAAGTCTGGGTGAGGTTCCTTTAAGGCTAGGATGTCCATTGAATAGATGTGTACTAATTCTTTTTACACATAGAAAGTGATTTAAAAAGTATATGGATAAGGATCTTTTAGAGTATGTTTCTATCTTTCACGCACTTGAAACAACTCTATACCTACAAAATGTTTAAAGTGTACAGTTCTGAATTTAACACTTACCAAGAAATTGTAATGACTTAAGAGTCCACAGTTTACGTAAACTATACATGAACTATAACTACAACTCAGTAATTTTGAAGACAGGTTCCAAATAAGGAGTTGATTCTTAGGCATCTGCACACAGTAGTGGTTAATACTTTAAAATACTTAATACTTTTATCGTGATACACTCTACACTAATAACAATCAACGGTCCATTGTAGGAATTTCTGAGATCTGTAGCAGATGCAAGAATTACAACTACTGTGTTTCCCCAAAAATAAGACTGAGTTTTATATTAATTTTTGCTCCAAAAGACACACTAGGGCTTATTTTCAGGTGATGTCTTATTTTTTCATGTACAACAATCTACATTTATTCGTGTACAAAAATGTACATTTATTCAATTTAGTCATGCCATCTTCTGGAACATTGTCATAACTCTCTAAACCCTGAATTATGTTGCAGCGGACATACTAAATGTATCTGTCTAGTTGACAATCTTAACTGGGGCTTATTTTTGGGGTAGGGATTATATTACGACCATCCTGAAAAACCATGCTAGGGCTTATTTTCCAGTTAGGTCTCATTTTTGGGGAAGTTTCTGTTTTTTAAATGGTTTAAATTACTAAAAATTTATTTTCCCTAAAACATACCATTGTTGTTGTTAGTTGTAAAGTCGTGTCCGACCCATCGCGATCCCATGGTGAACATTTCTCCAGGCCTTCCTGTCCCCCACCATGATTAAATCCAATATATTGCCAGCATATTTCTACTTTTGCACCTGGAGTTCACAATGATCTCTTTCCCCCTGCAGCCTTTAAATCTGCTCTTGAGAAAAAAGATGAGGGGAGCACCAAGAGCTGTAGGAGGAAGGGGAAATCCATTCTAAGCATTCTTTAAGTTTCTGTTCTACTGGCAAATTGTCTCCAACCCATAAAATTAATTTCCTATTAGTGCTGAAAATTATGCAAAGTGATTTCTGAATAGCAACATTTTACATAACTTTTAAAAATTATAGTTAAAAAAGAATTCTAGGTCTAGGACTGGCTTAACAACTGCCTTTTATTTTCCAAACCTGAATAGATCAAAAACAGCTACACTAAATGTCTCAAGCATTTCATTAGCTGAAACCCGAATATATCCATTGAATGTATAAACAGTTAAGTAGAATTTTGTACAGTTATGTATCTTTGTTTTGCAGGCTAATGATGGAAAACTTGATGAAGAATATGGTAAAGTTATACCAGCTGGAGCTACTGTATGGGGCATGGCAGTGGAATGTGAAGAGATACGCAGACATCATAGGTATATTTGTGCTAGTGATGTTGTAAATCTGTTTAAACTTTGGACAGGAAAGAGAAAATATTTTCATTGCTATACTACTTCTGTTAGTATACTATTTTGTTAGTATACTCAGAAAATTCTCAACAGCTCTGTATAGAAAAATGAATAGTACTAATAATTACCTTGCACCCTCTGCACTGCATTAAAAACTTTAGCTAGGGTTTTGCCAAAATGATACCTCTATCTTCTGGCATTGTGGGTATTGAAAATGTTGGACACAGCATTATGAACACTGAGAATGTCTGGGAAATTGTGATTAAGGTTGAGTGGATGTACAGTTTAGGAATAAAATCTCCAGTTCCAGGAGAAGGGAAGTTTACAGGAAGAACAAAGGCCCTCACAAATCTCCAGAAGCCTTTTTCCCCAGATATTTTGCCAGTTCCAAACCTGAGGATTTAGGAAGAGTGGGGTAGGGATGTTATATCTGCCTTCTGTGAATCCCAAGCAGTCCTGTAAAATTTCTTTTTCATTTCGGAAAAGAAATGGAAAATTTCTTTTTTGGCTGAAGCTTGTTAGGGTTACGCTGCAGCATTTTGTTATATATACCAGCCACAGTAGCATTGTTACTACATTTGTATCCTGCCTTTTTTCTCTTGCAAGGAACTTTAGGTGGCTTACATCAGTGGTTTACAACATTTTTACAAGGGACCGGCAAAAATAGGAAAATTATTTCAGGGACTGCTGAGGCAGAAATAAAAAGCATTACATACATAATATAGTATTTTGTGTATTAGTTTTTAAATATAGTACCAAAAAATAAAATTCTATAAAATAACAAGAAACTGAGCAGTAAAAACACTAATAAAAGAATAAAATATTGAAGTTAAATGTAATCGAATACAACTGAAATTTTTAGAGAGCAGTATGTAATTCAAAGAAGGCTACTGCAAAATCTGCCATTGCTTCTTTTCAAGAACACTTGATCAAAAATTTACAATAGCAAAATAGAAAATCAATATAAATGTAATACTATGCTCAGCAAATACAAATATGATATTCAATTCAAATATGATTATTAAGAGCAGAGCAATACAAAATCAAAGTAAATTACTTAATACAATAATATTCATAATGTTAAATAATAAAATACAATGAACCCCACCCCCTCAAACCCCCATACACACCAGCACAGACTGGCTGAGAAAACACTTTCAGCACAATCCTGCCTCAGCATTTCCCTTCCCAGTTGAAAACACAACAGAAAAAGGAAAAAGGCTGGTCTTTAAAGCCCAGCCCAGAGGTCGGACCAAGCACAGCACAGCTCCCACCTGGCTCCTGTTGAGCTGCTTCTCCCCTCCCCAGCCTCCTCGGCTGAGGGAAGGGTAGGGAATCGGTGGTGAGAGCACAGCTAGTCCCACACTGGTCCTGGTGAGCGAGATGTTGCTGTCATACATGCGCATGAGAGCAGCTCTTTCACAGACTGGCAGGAAATGCTGGTGGACCAGTGCTGGTCCATGGACCAGCAGTTGAAAACCACTGGCTTGCATAATCCTTCTGCTCCTCTGCATCCCCACAACAATCCTGTGAGGTAAATTGGAATGAGTGACTATTCGAAAGCCACCTAGTGAGCTTGATAGCTAAGTAGAAGCCAAATTTCCTCAGTTACAATCTGACATTCTAACTGTTGTTGCTAGTTGCAAAGTCATGTTCGACCCTTCACGACTCAATGGACAACACTCCTCCAGGCCTTCCTGCCCTGCACCATCCCCCAGAGTCCACTTAAGCTCACACCAACTGCTTCAGTGACTCCATCTAGCCACCTCATCCTTGGCTGTCCCCTTCTTCTTTTGCCATCTATTGTTCCCAGCATCAGCCTCTTCTCCAGGGAGTCTTTCCTTCTCATTAGGTGGCCAAAGTATTTGAGTTTCATCTTCAGTATTTGGCCTTCTAAAGAGCAGTCAGGGTTGATCTCCTCTAAGACTGACTGGTTTGATCTCCTTGCAGTCTAAGGGTCCAGCTTTCACAGCCATACATTGCAACTGGGAAAACCATACCTTGACTATATGCACTTTTGTCAGCAGGTTGATGTGTCTGCTTTTTAATATGCTGTCTAGACTTGCCATAGCTCCCCCCCACCCCAAAGGAGCAAGCATCTTTTAATTTCTTGGCTGCAGTCACTGTCTGCAGTGATCTTGGAGCCCAGGAAAATAAAATCTGTCACTACCTCCATTTGTTCCCCATCTATCTGCCAGGAAGTGAGAGGACCGGATGCCATGACCTTAGTATTCTTAATGTTGAGTTTCAACCCCATGGACAGTACCAAAAAGACATTCTAACTACTCGTTCTTTTATCTGAATTCTTTTCAGCCATTTTTAAAAAGAAGCTGGAAAAACTGGCATTTATATCCTTATGGTTAAAGAAATAAATTAGGTATCTTTTGCTAGCTCACAAAACATTTCCTATGGCACCTAATTTGCTGAATAGGCCACCACCAATAAGCTAGTAAAATGTGAATATGAACTGTTACATATTTTCATTTCTGGGTTTCATCTTTAGTTGGACTCTGTTTTTAAGGACTTCATAATGAGAACCCATCAGTTGTTTAGATGGAGAGCAAAGTCAACCTTTTTTCAGCAATCTATTGAAGAACAAACATATTATTTAATTGTACTATGATACTGGGACATTGGCATATTGATATGATTGTTTTTATTTCATTTAGATTCACAACTTACCATTGTGAAGAATGAGATAGACACATTATAAAAAATATTTAGGCAGGATTCTAAATTAATCATATCTTTTCTATGAGACTCTTATTATGTCAGTAAGCAGTGATTAGTAGGAAATTGAATGAATTTGTCATGAAAAGAGTCATTGCATCACTTTCTCTTGTCAAACCCAGTTTCCTTTGCTACTTTTTGTTTTCAGAGTGAGTGTAAAAGAAATTGCTGGTGTGTGTTTGCCAGAAACACTGGCATTCCACAGTCCAACATTTGCTTCTGTGAACTCAGTTGAAACTCTTGAACCTTATACTACTGAAAAGCTCAGTAGAATTCCTGGTGGCTATAAAGCCCTCACAGAACATTTCCAGGTTTTGACAGTCAATTTTAACAATCTGCAGGTAGGTTACTCTTGGTTCATTGAGTACAGGGATTAATTAAACAGTTGCTTACAAAAGGATTAATACAGAGCCAAAAAAGAGATTCATATCTATTTTGTATGTTGTGTACATTTTTGCATACCTCCTTACCAATGTGACTGAGGGCAAGTACTCACATGTAGCAATTTGCAGAGTCATGTTTCAGTTGTATTTCCATGTTATTTTAATAGCTTCATCCACATAGTTGGGTATCCTACATTGAAAAGCTACAGATAAGCACCTGCCCATGCCCAGTATTAGTGGATCATATCCTAATAACAGAAGGTTGAAATGTAGGTACTGCCAAATTGTAAGAAAATGCTACAGTTATCAAAGATGATAACTTTCTTATTCAAATCACTTTGACATGTATACGTAGATACACTTTCTAACTGTTGAATGCTTGACTACTGTTTTTGCAATATAAATTTTGTTAGTTTATTTATTCAAAGCTTTTATAGACCAACCATCTACTGGCATCTTGGGACAGTTTACAACAAATTTACAGACTTAGTTGACTTGAGCAAACATGACCCTGCTTCATAGAAAGTCAATTCAAAATTGTAGGCCCTCAGCAAATAAACTGTCTTTTGCAGGAAAACTGAAGAATTTCTGGTTTTTGTTTTATTTGATTTTGATTCTTGATCAGGAGCTAAAAAGCTATGCAGTTAGTAAACCATCTGAAATCAACATCCCTATTATTAAAGGCGGAATTCTAGATGCAATTGTGGTCTGGTTTACACTACAACTTGATGAGGAACATATACTTTCTACTAGTCCAAGTGAGGACACTTGTTGGGAACAGGCAGTCTATCCTGTTCAAGGCCTCCCTGGTATGTTTTTGAGATTATATTTTTACAATGTCATTAAAATGATTTTCTTTTAAGGATATAGCCAGTGTGTTTTATAGATTTGAGGAAAAAAAACTAATGAGTAAAACCTTCATTTCTCTTCCTCATTCCCAAGTAGCAATTATCTACTTGGGGATATTTATGTTACAGTTCTGAGTGATATAAAAATGAAGTTCTACAACATAGCCCACATAATTGTGGAAATGCCATTTTATTACATGTTTTAATAAAATTTGTAAGCATGAAGTTAATTCAGTAGAAGCAGTGTCAGCTTACATCATTAGGATTTTTACTTATTAAATGCTTCTCGAAGTTGAGATAAATGAGATATTTGCACTTAGAGGTAGAGGAATTGGATTGACTGTCCAGAGGAATGGCAGAGGGAGAGATTTAAACCAGAAGCTGTGAAGAATAGGAACCTGTGTTCATTCTGGTGTCTGGATTTTAACAGCTTCAAGCACATTTTCACTCAGAAATATATCCATCTTAATTCAGTAATCTTATGCTACATGTTTAAACACATTTATTAATTTATTAAAGTAAATTAATATCAAAAGATTATATAAGTAAAGCTGCTTAGGAATTTACTATTCATTTCAAGTAAGAAGATGAAAAAAGCATAGCTGAATTCAGTTAAGTAAAACAACCAGGACTGCTCTGCTTCTATCACTGAAAGTTGCTTGGCAGAGCAACAGTAGAGGTTGGGAAATTGATGCAAGTTCTGTGTTATAAGCAAAGCTAGTCTCAAAGTAGCCAATATTCAAGGAGGATGCTTGGGAAACACTAGTGAACGAAATATAATATCCCTATTGTCTTGTCTTTTTGTGATTTACAGATTATTCTGTGCAAATTGGAGACTCGGTCAAGATGGAATTATCCTGCCAGGACTGCTATTTAAGGATCCAAAAAATTTCTCTTGTGACTTCAGAATATGGAATGGATTTTGAAAAAAATTTCAAAGAGAAGAACAGTGAGGCTGAGCTTTGCAGTGCTCTAGCCAGTCTTCAAACAGCAAGTACAATGGAGTGTGTGCAGCAGGAATGCAGGCTAGAATCTACTGAGATTGCTTTACTTAATAATCTGCCATATCACAAATGTTTTAAAACTGCAATTGGCAAAGTGCTGTCATCCTTAAGCAGCCATGAACAAATGCACACTATGGATGTGGATGGCCTCAGTGATGAGCAGAATCTTGAAAAGAACCATAGACAAAATTCTGTTATTGAACCTTTGTATGTATTAGATGTATCAGAGGGCTTTTCAATTTTGCCAGTGATTGCAGGCAAATTTGGGCCAGTTAAGGCATATAGCTCCATTGAAAAAGATCATCACCAAATAGCTCTCAGTCTGATTTCAGAAGCCAATAGATTTCCTAAGGAAACATTAGAGTTTTGGCTCGGCCATCTACAAGATGAAAACATGGTATTACAGAGGCCTAAATCCGACAAATTGTGGAGTATTATTATTTTGGATGTCATAGAGACTTCTGGTCTAATTCAGCAGGATGTGATGGAAAAGGCAGCCATTTCCAGGTAATACATGACATAGGAGCTTCCATGGACTGTATTTTATCATTCTGTTCATCTATAAAAATTGTGTTATATAACTAGTGAAACATAATTTGAAGTGATATCTAGCCAAAACACTTCGAAAGTGAGTTGCTCATCACTGAATCGTAAGTTAAAAAGGCACCAAGAGTGTAGTGGAGGGGGCCATGAGAGGTTTGAGTTCCCACACATATTTTGGAGGGGGCCCTCCGGGAGTCACTGTATCCCTGAAGCCAGCGTCATGTCCCTTCCCCATTGTGTCTCAAGAGACATTTTGCTGGCTCATGGCTAGTAGCTGCCGTGTTGGAGTCCTGAATTTAACAGGTTAAGAATAGGGATGTTTTTCAATAGTTCCTGGGAACTACCTATCTGGAGAGACTTGCCAGGCATCCACATGAGTTTTCTGTGACACTTACCATCATGGTCAACCTCTGCTCCTCAGCCACATATGGTCAGCTTGCCTTTGCTGCTCCAAAAATTACCTCCACACATTTGGAACACTTTTATTCCACTTTTAACAGTTGCTACTTCTCTGAAGATTCTTGAGGACCATAGTTGGTCACTGTTACTGTACGTTATTAGTTGATACCTATTCCCCACACAGACAGCTACAGTTTCCAGGGAAGAGTGGTTGGCTGATAAATCATTCTGGGAACGATAGCTTCAAAAGGCAAATAGGCATTTTCTAGCAAGTCTTAGCACAAAAATTATTTGGGAGAAATAATGGATAAAGTGGAATAAAAGTTTTGTAACTGGAGTGTATTCACCAGAATCAATTGGAAAAAATAGCCATGACTTCTAATAGATTTAAGCACCTCTTATTCAGTTAGGCTACTTTATGCATGATTCAGTGTAGATCCAGTGAGAGCACAGTGAGATTATTGGATATTTTGAGAAACTGGCACCCCTAAACTATGGTCTCTAGGCTCATGGAGAATCTCTCACACCTACCTACACACATGGTCAGTGGTTGCAAAGGCCACACAGAATTAAACCAAACAGCAATTGTCAATCCAAACTGCTGCTCTTAGGAGAATATAACTACATATATTTCTGTAAGTGTGGGGAATTAATGCCTGAGTTTCGTTTTTTCCTCTTCCCTCCATGTCCCTTGTATGTCATGTTTTTAGATAGTAAGCCTGTGGGCAGGAAATGCCTTATTCCGCATAAACCACACACACACTTCTAAATTTGCCACTACACTACAATAGGGACTTTTAAAAATCAAATAAGGATGTTGTATCTGCCTTTTCCTGTTTTCAAATCTTGAAGAGCTTATTCTTACAAGACGAAGTAAGAGTTGGTTGTTAATGTCCACTCAAACTTGTTGCTCAAAAACATTCTAAGTATATTAAACAAAACACTTGTATTGATGGCTTAAACCAGGAGTGCAGACTTCAGGATTCCAAGATCTCCTTTTTTTAAAAAAACTAAAAACTCGAAGGTTTATCAGCCGAAGTCAAGTGCAATTTACTGGCTCATGTATGGTCTAAATACCTAGCAGAATTAAGGAATAGGGTGCTTCTGAGAATATGGCTACAAAACAAGAATTAGTTTTTGGTACCAAAACATAAACTCCCAGTTCTTTGAATCAAAACTCCACTGCTTGATTCCATGCAAGGCTTTAAAAAAACCCCCAAAAAACCCCTTAAGCACACTATTTGAGAAAGAAGGAATTTTTCCCACTGGTAAACAAATTACAGCCAGAATCTCTTGCAAATCTACTGTGAATCATCTAGAGATCTACTAGTAGATCATAACCTATTTTTCCCCAATCCTACTTGAGTGACTTGTCAAGAGAGCAAATGAACAGTGTGGAAGGAATAGTTTTGACTTTTGACAATGCTATTTTTTCATGTATAGGTGTCTGCTTCATTCTGGAGGTAAAATATTCCCACAATATGTGAAGATGTATGGGATGCTTGTGGAATCAAAGTCGTTAATACTTGAGACTGAAGTTCAAGGGACAGATCCTACACTTGGTTTCAACATTGCACCTTTTATCAACCAATTCAAGGTATAATTTAAGTTATATGCTTCCATATCCAGTATAAAGCACTAGATTTAAATAGGATAGTACCATAAAGTTGCAGTGTTTTATTAAGGCCACAACTGTGAGGACAGATATTTCAAAAGCAGTTTGCAGTATAGCACAGGAGACTGTTCATCAAAGAAAAACATCAAAAGTCTCACTGGTTATGTACCTATCAAACACTCTCAATATCAAGGCCTTAATTTTTCACCATTTCCTAGTAATGAAAAAGGCATCTGACTTGAAGATTAGCAGAAGTAACATTTAAGAGAAGATGTTTATATATATATATATAGTTATAGTTATAGTTATAGTTATAGTTATATATATATAGTGTGTGTTATTTATTATCATATATGTTATATATAATATACATGTTAATATTTATACATGTTAATATTATACATTAGCAGGAAATGTATGGTTTGGTTTGGTTTGGTTTGGTTTGGTATGCTATGTATGTCTCATGTTCCATAATATCCTGTCTTGTGCGATGTGGCATAATGTCTTTAATTGTAACATGATGCTTGGAACCCTGAGTTATAGAAGCAGTGGCACAGCTCACAAGTCATATTGGACAGTCAGCCTGGTATAGGTATAGGATACTGTTGCCCACTGTCATACTGGATAACTCATTCGTACTATTTTTAAAGCCTAGAAATGGGTGCCCAGGCCAGGAAAGAAGGAAGATGATTTTCTAAAGCTGTGTTCTACCTTTGGAAATGCATCACAGTTAAATAATCCTAAACTGTGGTGTATTTTATTTCAGGTGCCTGTACGTGTTTTTTTGGATTTGTCTACACTACTATACGTGCCTTTAAGCAAGTCAGTGGAACTTCTGCGAGTCGATCTCATGAATCCATATTTGAACAGCTCTAGTAGGGAAGTTAAGGTAGGTGCCTAACACAGTAAATCCTGTCTGCTAAAGTTTATTATTCCCCATTCTTACATCTATTAATCTAAGTACAATAATGCTCTGGCATGTCCTGTGCTTAATACTTTATGAATTGGCTTATATTGTGCTTAATTTGAACTGCTGCCTTTTTAAGCAGAAAGGCATGATAATTAGGCCATTATATTACTCATTGGTTTGTAGTGTTAACTTGCTTTCTTGTGGGGAATTGCCTGGTTTCCCAATCAAAGTATTATTGTACTGCTTACTGGGAAAACATATTAAACTCTGTGATTCACTCACTCAGTCTAAAAAAACCAACAAGGTAGAAATTTGTCTTTTAACCTAGATCTTGGCTGCAGTGCAGAGCACAGATTAGTTAACGTATGCCTGCCTCTTCCTGGCATTCCCTTAAATTTCTTGGTGCTGGATTTTGTTGGCAACTAGTTAACTTTAGATGTGTCTGTGGTGAACATTCTCTCACAAGGTGGCAGTCTTTCAGTAAAACTAAAGATCAGTTTACCATTAAACATGTTCCTACTGCAGATAACTAGTAGGAATAAATAGATAATAAATTCCTGCTTGAGGATCCATTGATTTTGCCTGGAATACTCCCAAGAGAGTAACCAAGGTTTGTACAAAGAGGGAAAGAAAATAAGCCACAATGTGTGCAGGTCAGCATAATCACCCTTGCTTGGACATGGATTGCCATGCCATCTGAACCCAATGAAGCTAGGATGGTTTGCAAACCATACTGGAACCAATACTTGTTCAATGGTTTCAGGGTGTGTTGTATACCACCCCAGGCACCAGGTTTGGACATACCAACAAACCATGCCAGATGAGAGTTATTACGCTAATTAGGCAGATAGAAACTCGCACTTCTAGAAAGGGAATAGAAGGTACTATGGCTTATTTTTCTCTCATGAGCATGCATGGATCAGGAACCACTGTTTGCCTGGTTCTGAAGTGACATAGCTGTTTCTGTGTGTTTGTCTAACATCTTTTAAGAAACACTGCCCATACTCCTCCTCTTGCTGCAAAAGAATACTGGTGACACTTATGTTTGCCAATTCTTCCAGAATCAAAAAGCAAATATAACCCTGATACGAAGAGAAGTTCCATAAGCTAAAATCTTCTTGTTTCAAATAGCAAACTTAATAGAATGATTTAAAAGTTTGGCTCGTAGAGAACAGATTAAAGTAGTATTTTTGACAGTGAAATATTACTTTTGGTATCTACTAATATCAATACCTTACCTTTCTTTTGTAGGTGGAGGTTTGTGAATCAGGTCAAGTGACTGGTATTCCATTTTGGTATCATGTACATTTGGATGAAGATAATGTTTTAGACACATCAAGCAAGTCCTCCCATTGGAAACAAGCTGCTGTTGTATTAGATAAACCCATCCAAGTTCAAGCGGGAGATGAACTTGTACTCAATGTTCACTATTACAAAAGCAACATAAGCATTACAGTAAAACAGTAAAATGTCACCAGCTACTGTTGGTAATCATGGCCTAAAGCATTTTAGTCAAAGTATTTTATAATTCAGCATAACTATAGCAAGAATGGTACACTGTCTCAAATTTTGTGACTGGGATTGCTACTAAAAACAAAGCCATGATCCCCAGAGAAGTTGAAGAAAAAATTAGTCCTGGTGGACTGATAGTTTGTGAATAAGTGGTTTAGAGATTAATAATATTCCATTTCCTATTTTTAGATTTCTGGAAAAATATTTTATGAATTAGTGCAGTACAAAGTAAAATGAAAAAGGGATTCTTACAGAACATACCTGTTCTTCAAGTCTCATGTTTTGTAGATAAAGCAGTGATGAGTCAGGTGGGCAGTGAGCTAGGACACTGCTGTGCCTTCTGCAGACCTACAATACTTTGCTGAAAGAAAATGAAACACTATCTTTTAATCCTAAATACAGATCCAGAAAGGATGTAAGAGTTCGCTTTAAAGATCATATGGATGAAAAGGGTATTATAGTTCTATCTAAGCTAAATTCAGTGAAACAATCTGGGAAACAAAGCAACAAAACATTTAATGTAATGGGCTTGGATCTAGTGCAATTGCTATTTATTAGTCTGACATCCTCAATTAAAAATCAATTTCATGTAAGAAATACTGACTGCCAGCTAGGAGCACCACCCACAAAATCTTAGAATCTCAGTAGATTCTTAAAGTTTACTTGTAAACTTCTTAAACTTTAAGTGTCTGGAAATATGGTACTAGACCTGCTGAAAAAACTTAGGAATAAATGGCCCCAAGCTTCTTCCTCAGTGAAGAGTTTTACTGTAAACTGCCAAATAGTTTTGGGTTTGTTTTGTTGGTTGGTTGTCATGGGAGTTCAGATTGGCTAGTTTTTGTTCAGGAAGTGCTATCATTTGCCTAGAGGATATTCTGGCAAGCAGGACCCTCTTTTCACCCTAATGCAGGATGTGGAAGGCCCAAGTGGCATTGTGTGCAACTAGTACAATACATGAATGTACTTGTCCTGTTGCTGAACTCACCAATGAGTAATTGAAGAGTAGAGGATGGAGAGTAAGCAGTGTATGGAAGAAACAGATCCAGAAACATGGTGGTAACCGTGACAAGAAAAGGTTCGACTTAAAAACCTAGAATGCCTATTGCCATTACAAGTCTAGAACCAGTAGGTATTTCCAGTAGGCAGGCACATATCACAAACAGGAAATGCACAGTCAAAAAGAACTGTATAATATTAAGTGTTTGAATAAAATTTTATTTGCTTATATACAATAAAGGCAATGAATAAATGATTTGCTCCTCTGCCCAGTTTCATTAAGGACACACTAAATTCAGTCATAAAATATGCAGTCTAGTGAATAAGGCCAAGTATTTACAGAATACACTAGTACTGCAAAAAGCACTTGTAGGATGAATTTTTTGTAACAGCCACAGAATTAGTTAAAAACCTCAGGTCTTTTAAAGAGCATCTAAACATTGAAAATAGTTTTGAGTTCTTTCTGAAGATGCCACTTACAAATGCAAATCTTGCTGCAGTTTTTTCATATGCAGGTAAAGACAGCAAGCATGCAATGCAGGCATAAGTGTAATAATGGGTCAGACAAATCCACTTGAACCAGATGTAATAAACTCTTCAGAATACTAATTTGTTATATTTTTCTCTCACATCTGTATTAGTAGTGTATATGATTATACTTAGAAGTTTTAAAAGGCAAATATACAATGAATTAAAGAAACAAGCATTAAAATATTAATATCATAGTGGAACACAGTCTATGATACTATTGGGAGAAAACCTACATGGTGTTTGAGCCTGGTAAAAATACAACCATACTGATTCTTTCAACAAACAAAATCCTTATTCCAATTTATAATCCTAATTAGAATTTAAAAAAGCTTTCTGTTGCATAGGCCAAAATACACTTATAGTAATGATAAAACTTCAAGCCAATGGGATTACATTGCTTAAATCCAAGCATTTCTACTTCACTGGACTGTTCAACATTCATACCACAGCTCTTATGGGGATAAGTGTGTCACTACCCCAACTTAAATCTATAACAATTCCATAATGGTTTTAGAATGTTAGTAGTCCTTATTCCGGAATGGGTCAAGTATCACTCTGAAAAATTAAGGAGAGAATCAGAATCTGAGGCCTTCTACCTCGCCCCTACTAGTCTGAAAGGGTAGGGGTTTTTTTTTTTTTTTTTTTTTACACAAGCAGCATTCATTATTGAATTTATTTCTTCAAAAGCCCAAGATCAGTCATTTTCAGATACATACATATATTCCTTATTATCAGTTATTGTAAAAGTTAATTCAAATGTTGATTTTATACTATAGTACAGCACTAAAATGTAGATTATGTTTCATTTCAGAATAGTATAATCATACACTTTGGAGATTCACTGTTGAAAATGAAATTCCAACTAGGTCCGTCTTGTTTGTTTTATATGTTCCTTGGTGCAGCTGACATTCCTCTGGGAAGAACAGGGTTTCCAAGGCTAGAAAACGAACAGAGCAAGTCTAAGAATATTTTGGAAAATAATGACATTTTCAGAAAAAGTGTTATCCAGACTTCTCCATTTGAACAGGGGAATTTTTATTCTCTTCTCCAGAGTTACATAACCCATCAGATGTCAATTCAGGAGGCATTGTTGGAGTCACGGTATGTCCAAATCCTTGGTAATAGCCAACTGGTGATGATGGCATGGAAGAGGCAGCAGAAATTGGATCCTGAGTGGATGATGACAGCAAACTTGTATGTTCACTCTGTTCATGGTCCTCACCAAAAAACATTTTCCTTGGTTGGCCAAATACTGTCCTTCCTAAAGGCAAGAGATTTTTAAGAGTTAGTCTATTCATAGATTGTATTATACCAACTGTTGTACACTGCCCAGAAAGCTTTAGCTTTTAGGTAGTATAGGTATAAAATACAGACCAAAAATGATAGTGTAGTTACTAGAAAAGTATAAAAATAACTTTAAATGCTGCTCAAAAAATAAGGTACTTTTTTTATATCTCACTTACCAACATTGCGAACTTGTTCAGTCACATCTGCCCTGATATCGGAAATATCCCACATTGCAAGAAAGGAATCAAAGCACGATCCTTCTTCAGCTTCTTGCACATATGGCTTGTAGGAAAAACTGTAGTGATGAGCAATCGCAGCAAGGAACATTTCTACACATATAATAAAATCCTGAAACAAGGAAAGTTTAAATCATTCCTATTTAATCCCACAATCATGACTCTCTTCCAGGGTTCCTACAGTTCCAGAGTCCAATTTAATCAAAATAACAGACTAATCGAATTTCAGAACCTTGATGTTCTCAGTGAAGGAGCAGAGCAGGGAGAAAAGGGCTCACTCTCAAATCAGTGGAAGGCTTCACAAAACATATCAAAGTTGTGTGCCACAAGAAAAGGAGGAACCTCCTCCCATTCTTGTATCTGCCTTCCACAGAAAAGCAGGACTGATCCACCCCACTTTCTTTGGAAGCATGAGACTTCTCCTATCACACCACATTTCTTTTTTCAGGATTGTTAGCTTTGTCTTATATTCTGGGTTGGGCTTCCATTACAGAGGTGAGTGACTCTTTTACCCCCACCCCCATTTCTCCTTTTCACCCTCAAGCATTAAAAAAAATATACAATTATGTGATGGTGGGCTTTTTTTAGGAGCATCACTTCCCCACAGAATCCACCTCCACTGTGTTGGTGGTGGACTTCAGGAGAGCTTAATAGCCATGGACTATGCATTTTCACTAACAGCCACCGCTCCCTGTCAGCAATCTGCCTCTTTCTCTACTCCACATACCATGTCTCTAAGGAATTGTGATAACCACCCTTACATCCCTTCCTTTGCACATGGCAAGCAAAGTTTGGCTACAGGCAGGGAAAAGGCAGATCCCTCAGTGATGAACAAACTCACTACATCTGAGAAATCTTTCTCCCTTGGCAACAGCAGCAGCAACTATGTCTGGGGCACAATACAAGGTGCCATCATCCTCAGGCAAGGGAAGCTGCTTCAGGTTTACCATCAGCAGGCAGACTAGCCTGGCCTCAAGCAGATAGATGGACCATAAAGTATTCACAATGCTACTCAAACTGTTAGCAATGGAATCATGCAGCTGTAAGCAATGGAGTCATGAAAACTGAAGTGGGAAAGATGTCAAACTATTTCCTGTTAATCTGGCCAAAACCATAAAGACTTTTAAAATTAATGTTTCTGCTCTTAGTTAATGAGAAGCTCCTGGGAGTGGTTGAAGTTTTTCCCAAAGATGCACCCTCAGCCATACCTTTCCCCCATTCACTATACAAGGAGTGTGGAAAGATCTGAAAGTGACAAAAGGAAGCAAGACAGGACATAATATCCATTAAAAATTTTAGCCTTTCCACTCAGACTAAGGAACAACTACAGATACTGATGCTGGATAATCCTGCAGCAGCATTGACCTCTATGACTTCTCTTAGTGAAGCACTCAGAGAAAATTGGTACGAGATGTTCTTCTGTTGCCATATGACTCCAAAAGATATTGGAGAAATGGACAAAAATTATAATGAAAAATGCTGGAAATGCAAGAAACTAGATTGGACTTTTTTCCATATGTGGTATATGTGAACAGTAAGAATATGCTATTGAGTATTCTGCCAGAAACTCTTACAAGAAATATGGAGGAATTACTTAAATATAACAGCAGGTAGAGTTAAAATAGTAACTGCCCGACTAATTTAATGATAAATGGAAAGCTTATCATACGTATTTTACCAATGGAGAAAATGAATAGAACTTATGTAAGGATGACTTAGCCAATACATTTACTAACTATATAAATAGAAAAGCAGTTAATTTTTATGATAAATGCCTATTATACCTACTTTATTCAGCAATTTAGAGAAAAAAACAGAACCTATAGATATTATGTATACAATGATCAAATCAGTATAATTGTTCCTTGAATTTAATTTCTTTTTATTCTATTACTTTGGAAAAAAGAGGAAAAATCAATTATTTTTGCTCGATTTGTAGATATTCTATAAGATGAATTATTTAGTAGATACTCTTATAAAATCAATTTTAATAGTTATTAGTCTTAATAAAGTATTAATTAATGCAACTAAGTATTATTTTTAAGTAAGTTTTATTTTGTCAGCATTGTAGTTACAAATTTGATGTAATACAAATGTAATTACCATTTTTAGTGATATTTCCTGCCTTACATAGAAGTAGGGGCAAGCATTTCTTGTCCTGGAGTGAAGCCTTGTGCTATGGTTACATTTAATTAGATAAGAAATTGAACAGAATCCTTAGCTATTAGTCTATCTAAGTTACAATGATTAACAGAGTTCTAGTAGTCATTTTCAAGTTATTACCATTATGACCACTTTTGGTAGCTGCAGGAATTCTACAACTAGGAGGCATTTTCTCTCCTGTCTATGGCACACAATTTCGATGTGAGTAGCCCTGCTTTTTTACAGAACTGAGAGTTAACCCTTTCCTCCCTGCTCCACACCTCACTGCCCAACATACCACTTCACAGTAATTTTGCATTCAACATACAGAAAAAGAGCCTTTTCAGGAGTGGCACCCCAACTTTGGAACGAGCTGTCCAGAAGGATTTGCCTGGCATCATCTTTATACTCTTTTCAGCACCAAGCAAAGACCTTTTTATTCTGCTGGTATTTTAATTGTTAACTTGTTATTATTGTTATTTTAATAGAAGGGGATATGTCTTTTATGAAATCTGGAGTTCCGGTGGGTACATTTTTATTGCTGTTCTATTTTTATTTTTATTGATTGTGATGTTTTTACTGTTTTGAATTGCTTTATATAGTTTTTATTGCTGTAGCCTGCCCAGGGAGACATGTGGCTAATAGGGCAGGTTAGAAATCTACTAAATAAATAAACTAACAAACCATCATAGTTATTACATTTGTACATACTCCAATAGCCAAAGTATATGCACAAAGGCACTGTCAGCTAAGCCTATTCTCAAAGCTGGGATAAGCTAGGACTTTAGCTATCAACTGAAGATCTTCTTTTAGACTCATCAAAATGCAAGGAGTGAAACTCTTGGAGTACAGCCAAGCAAGGCAGAGATGCACCATTAAGCTATAAATATACTTGGTGGTGGTATCACTAGGTTCTCCAGTTCGTGCCACTAGAATAGCAGTCTACATTGCAAGCTCAGACAAATTTCTGTGCATATCCACAACAACATAGAGTAGGGCAGCTCAAATAATACAGCTGGTAAGCTAGTCACCTGACAACAATTGTTGACTTCCAGTGAGAGAAACAACTGGCTTAAATTCATTCATTATTCTTTAGCTCTGAAGGTCAATCAGCCTATTCTTAATCATGCTGAATAATTTGGGGTGGTGGGGAGAGTAAGATGTTTACACCAGCTGTTCTAAGTTACCTGTAGACCAGTTGCCACAGCTTCAACACTCTGCCATTCCCATGTGCGCTTTTCAGAGATAATACCAACTTTCACCAGCATTGCAATAAGTACAGCTTGCCTATTTAAAAAAAAAAAAAACCCAGAAAGCACAGGGATCAAAACACTTCAAATCTTTTCATCCATAAACTGGCTCTGCTATGAAATCCCAGTGAGTTTCCATTATCAAATGTGGGGGGGAGGAAATCTTAAGATTTGAAAGGCATTAAATTATAAAGCATATTCTAGAAGTGCTAGAAGTAGGTGGTGGGTGACTTTGGGCCTCACAGACTCTCAGCCCAATCTACCTCACAGGGTCATTGTGGTAAGGATAAGATTGAGAGGAGGAGAATTATGTAAGCTACTCTGAGTTCCTTGAAAGGAAAAAAGGCAGGATATAAATAAATATATGTAATATGAATTTATTGCTCTATCTACATATTAATTTATAATTATGGTCTTGTTTGGAGAGTGCAAATGTGCATCAGCACGAATAAGGACTTTTGGAAGAAACTCTGTGCTGGTCTGACAGGCAGATTACAGATCCAGAAGATAAAGTGTTTTATATGTAAACAGGAAGTCTGTTAATCCATAAAAAAAATTCTGTCCATTTTTGGAAGGTCCAATGCATTCCACATTTTTGGAGAAAATAGTATGTAAACTTTAAAACTTTACGGGTTTTCATGGGCAAGTACATGCTAAACTATTCCCTTTGGAATAGACTAAAAGAGTGCATAATCTTTGATCACAACCTTCCATTATATTCACATGAAAACCTTTTAAATAATAGAATTTTAAAAGACAATTAAAATACAGGCAGGCTGGATTTTTAATCACTGTACAACACCAGTATTTTTGCACACTTGTTTGCAAATAAGCACCATGGAATGCAACATAATTTATTTCTGAGTAACCATACATAGGATTGTGTTGCTAGACAATTTAAACAAGTTAAAATATGACTCTTCATATTTCTGATTGGGTTTCTGATTTGCAATTTCAATCACAGTTTTTACAAAAGAATCAATTTACAAAATACTTCACTTACCAAAAAGAAACAAAAACCACCATCTTCACACACAAAAATTTTCCCACAGGCCTGATTGGGTTCAGTTCTTCTCGCAGTACTTTATAAAACAACACAAGGCAGTACATGGCAAACTAAAATAGAAGGATAAGAATGATTAGCCAATTTAGCTTAGCCAATAGAACTCCCAAATATTTTTGGATAGTTTTATTTGCCATCCTGTAAAACTCCAGGATGATGAGACCTATTCAATTCTTATTCCATGTATTTTTATGGCATGTGCACTGAAAAAGTCCCTTTCAACTGACCAGTTTGATCAGACATAAATGGTAAGTTACAGAGCAAGCAAGATATTACCCATTTAATATTTTTACATTCACATGGCTATATTTAAGTATTTTGTTTTATACTATTTATGTCCCAATTTTCAACTAGAAAGAACCATCAAGATGGCTTACAATACAGCTAAAAACTTAAAAATTATTCTAATATGCAAATAAACAGGACATTTAAAAACTAGCTAGTTCAAAAGTTCACACTTAATGTTCAATCTAAGACTTACTTTCCTATATAAGAAAGATATGTAGAGGTAAATGCTGCCAATCTTGAAGTTTATTTTATACACAAATATGCCAACACAGACAGAAAACTAAAGTTTTGTTACTCACAAGTTGGGATATATTGTTGAAGAAAACCAAGTAGGTCCAAGCATTTTTGAAGCTAAAGTTCCCTTCATCATAAACACCAACCAATTCACAGATTCTGAAAGAGTATTACACAAACTATTGCTTTAAAAACCTACAGGCACTGGCTACGATGGAAGACTCATTAATTAAGTGGGGTAACTTCTAAGTGAACATGCGTAAGATTACAGTGTACGATATAAAAAATCATAAACTACTAGAAAGAATAGGTAGGACAAAGCAAAAATATTTCCAGTGAGCAGAATTTTTTATTTAATATCTCCTACAAGTTGCAGATTTTAATTAAGGGGCTTCACCAATATTATAATTATTATTACACAACATTTATATTCTGCCTTTCATCCTTGAGCAAGGAATCCAAGGTGGCTTCTCCTGTCCATTTTATCCTCTCAACAACAAAATTGTGAGGTAAGTTAGACTGGCCAAAGTCATCCACGAGGTCCATGGCTGAATGGGGACTGGAACACAGATCTCCTGAGTCTCAGTTCAATATAAATCATTTCATTTAATTTAGAATGCTAGGGGTTTGTTTTTTTGGAATTATCAAAGCCTACAACAGCAAGTGGTTTCATTTAAAAAATGCCAGACAGTACTTCTTTATAGCTGATTGTAGGTGTGCAGGCCTTTTCATTACTTTCTTCAACAAAGCAATTCCCTCCAAGTATTACTGCTTTATGTGTAAATTTTATTTACATAAAAAACATGGAGTGTTGAACCAGGTTCAGTGTTGTTTTTTGATAACACTGAGGTCACGCACTTAAGTATCTTCAGAAGTAAATCTGTTTGGGTACACAAGTTGCCAGTCACCTGGGGGAAACAGTAGTTTCTTCCAAGCAAACACATATGAGATATACTATGGGAAATATGTGCATCATCACTTTCCATGTTGTTCCACTTTCTTGACACTTTCACTTAAGTTCTTAAGCTAGCAAGTAGACCTTTAAAGCTACAAGACAAAGCAAGCTGAGTAGTAATTTTATAATACTGCCTTATTTGACAAAAGGCTAAGAGAGAAGAACAAGGTGACTGCTACTAGAGCAGAATTATGCAGGACAATGGAAAGAGAAGGAACAAACATATCTATATATAGCATTCCGAAACAAAAATAGGTTGGTTCGTACTTACAAAGCAATAATAGTGGTAAATGGTCTGACAACTGTGTACTGCAGTACACCAAGTTTGCACCTAAACAGCAATACCCTGCAGGAGATACAGAGTTTAAAACAGCAATATAAACAATATAAATAACTTTTATTGCAAAAACACCAGCAGACAGAGAATCACAAGCTTCCTGTACAATACAAATGTTAAATGAATACTAGGTTAAAACTATGTAACACATTTTAAGACATACAAGGATAAATATTTAACACCATTGATGAAAACAATTCAACAATTACATGCTGTCACATCTTCTAATCAAAATCCATCCCTATATTAAGTCATAGCCAATACCTCTTGCTGGTCATTTTCTTCAGGTTTAACCCTGTTCCAGTTGTTAAGGGAAAAAAGTCCTTGTTCTCCGCACCCACCCCCCTCCACCACAGAAGTCAATTAAAATTATTTTCCCATCCTACAATAATCTATTTTATGAATACCATCTGCCATATTTTTTCATCCATATGTCCAAACCAGGAAGCAAGCTGTTCTTTCAAAACTTGATAATATTTTAGCTGGCAGTATCAAGTTGCCAACTAGTACCTGATGTTTCCTTCCTACAGCGCTTTAGAGATAGCCTGGTAAAACTATTGATGTCTTAATGTTATTTCATATACAAATATTTCACTATTATTTAAAATACTTTCCAATATATTTTCATTCTCCTATGGTTCCACCATATGTGACAGGTTGGTATCTGTTGATTTCCATTTCCACCAACACCTCATGCAGCTGTCATGCATTTTTTCCTAACCAAGGAAGAGTTACAATTTTATGGAATTTTGCTTTCAATATCGTATGTTGTGTACACTTAAGAGCTCACCCTGCACATTAATCCAAATTACTTTCAGTCAAGCATATCAGCTGCATTAAGATAATTGATGAATTCCACAGCTGCAGTCCCCTGCTTTTCTCTTCCTCCTTGCACACTGGCTTCACCAGAAAAGTAAGCTAGAATCTGTTAACCAACATGGATCCAGAGTTCCCCAGTTCAGGTGCAAGGTGACCCTGACTTGATGAAAGCTGGGATCTTTGTGTCAAATGTTGATATGTGACAGGAAAAGACCATGTGGCCGTGGCACTAGGGAACAGGTCCAGAGCCTTGGTTTATGAAGCCGTGGACTATTGTCTGAACATAGCCACTGGTTCAGTTCATTCATAATGGGAAATTTTCTTTCCCCACTGTAAAAGTAAGCCACATAGAGAGCTTTGGGCCTCTTCTGTTCTCAATATAAAAATTTAAATTAGTTTTAGTTTTAACTAAAATGTCCAATGTGATATCTGAACTCGAAAATGTGTGCCTTGTTTAAAAAGACAATTTGACAAGAAACCACGGCCTAAAGCAAAAGTGTGATCCTAGCTTGTCTACAAAACATGTTATAAACAAACCGCTCTTTCAGTCTGGAGGTCAGGAGAACTATGCCTCATTTAAAACCAAAACCTAAAAACCTTTTGGGTCAAACCCTTTAGAGCTTTAATCTAAAACCTATAGGGGAGGGAGATGTGCAGCAAGGCATACCATCACCTGACAAAGATTTATACATTTTAACAGAGAAAAAACCTCAAACAGGGTCCAACACCAGCCTTTCAAAAAAATAGGAAGAAAACTATGGCACTGCAAGAACGAACTCTGATGTCTCTACATCAATGCCCAGAGTATGGGAAATGAACAACACAAACAAAAGTATAAATTTTGGCACAGCCACCTTATTGTAGTAATCCTTAATCTAGTTGACTTGCTGTACAAGAATGGACCAGAGATAGTAAAGCAGTGGCAGGAAAGTCTCATCATTCCATTTATTCCATTACAATGTTTTGACACTGCAAGAGTCCATTGCCATCTCCACCCTGCTGTTTTCTGCAGAAGGCAATAACCCCCACATTTTGCTATAAGTAGAGAAGAGGTGGGGGGGGGGGGAAGCACCTGACTAAGCAGCTGTCCTCAAAAATCTAACCGCTGCATTCAGCTACACACAATTCTGTCAGAGCAAATTCAATGGAGCTGCACAGCACAAGCAAGCATTTAATATGATATCTTACAGCTGTGAATTGAGCCTGGGAAAACACATCATGTTCATTTATTAAGGAATCCTGTTTTTTAGTAACAACTACTTCCCCTATTACTTACCCTGAAGCATATTGTTCAGGAATTCTTGTAAAATCTAGTTCCTTAAATGCAAAATAGGAGTTGTGTATTTCCACAAAAAGGTTTTACGCTAATCCAAGAGACTTGTATTTTATTGAATAGATGGATTTTGATTAGAAAATGTGGTGCCATGCAAATATTGCATCATTGTCATCAGCTGTGTCAAATACAAATTAATTGTATTTGCACAAATGCATCGTATGACACAGTACAAGTCCGAAAATATATAATGTACTCACTCTCCCATAGCCCAGGGTGGACAGCAGCACAGTGGCGGTAGATGTTTTTGCTGATCTTTGGCTTCTATGATTAACACCAGATTTGGATACCGATTGGTCAGGTAATTTGAAAGAAATACCATGAAGTTATAGATGACATAAGCTTCGTAGCATTCTCTACAAGTATCCACATATATTGCAATGTTGGGGTATTTCAATGCTATCCACTATCAAAAAGAGTAATTGTTAATAGAACACATAGAAGCATTTTTAGTGTACACTAATCACACATCAGAAATCTCAGCATTAAACATTCAGTAATTAAGAAAGCCTTACATCTGAATCCTAAGCATGCCTACTTGATCTAAGTTCTGATAAACTAAATGAAAACTGTTTCCTCAAATGCCCTTTGGACCTTGCTACTACTTACAAAATGTATTTATTTATCAAGATTGTATCCCAACCTTTTCTTGTTTAAAGAATTCAGAGTGGCTTACATCATTCTACTACTACTCCTGTCCTCAATCTCATCCTCATAACAGCCCAATGAGATGGGTTGGGCTGAAAGTCTGTGACTGGCCCAAAGTCACTCAGTTGGCTCCATGGCCGAGTGCGGACTAGAGCACAGATCACATGAGTCTCAGGCCCGCACTCTTAATTACTACACTATACCGACACTCTAATGCTAACCACTTGTTAGGTACAGTACCAGACAGAAAAGCAACATATATTTTACCTAGAGGACATTCTGTCCACATTACAGAGCCCAACAAAAAAAGTCATTTTTTGAGGGATGCCTTGCTTTTCAGACCTGTTGGGTGCTGGTTCAGAAAATGGCATTGGCTAGACTGCATTGGCTCTTAGATACGGTCAAATTTATATAATTGTTTTAGTCACTTTTTGAAAAGATTTTGCTGATCAACTTGTTCTTCTGTTACCTAGTTTGTGTTTTTGCGTACAAATTGGCAAATATAGTGAGAGTGTTTACATACTTCCAACTGTAATTTTACATCATCAAACAGTGGACTCTAAATTATAATTAATTATATTATAGTTACACTTGTACAGGAGGTGTGTGTATATTCCCACTCATATCGTTTCATTTTTGCAGATGGAGCACCTTAGAGATTATGGCTACTTCATGACAGTGCTGCCTGAATCATCCTGACATATTTTGCTATATTTGTGGAGAGTACACCCTGGAAGCAAGTAGGAAACTTTAATGACCACATTTCAAAGAATCAATGAGTCTTGCGCCTGGTCTTCATTTGGTCTTGTGAAAAATTTACCTGGCAACAAGAAGGCAGACAACTATACTCAATTAGTAGAGGAGATGCTCTCTCATTTTAACAGGCTTGGCTGTAAACTGAGTATTAAAATCCATTATCTACACAGTCACTTAAGTCACCAAGGTTTTCTGCAAATTGATCTAAGTGAAGTGCAATATGATGACAGATTACTGTTGGAACCTTATGTGGGATTGTCCTAGCAGATCCCACTCTCAGGAATCTTACAAAAGGAGCTTCTTCTGTATCGAATGACTGAAATATTTGTATCAACCTGTGCTTTTGGTTTGTAAGAAGCAGATTTAGTATATTTCACTTTTCTTTTAAATTTTATTGTGTTTCTTTTGTGCTATACAGAGCTTAAATAAAATTTAAAATTTCCTGATTTTTGACAGGCAACCAGAGTGAAGAGTGGTATGTGGCATTTATGCTGTATCTCAAAAACTTGAGCTGATAGGGGAAAAATGGTTCAGTTTTGGAATCAGTTTTGGAATCAGTGGTCAAATATACCCAAGAACAGGCCTAAAATTCAAGGCACCAAAATCTGTGTTGGCCAGTATGCATATGCATACCTTTTTCATGTACATCATATGTTGCTGTCCAATGAACTGTGATGCTCTCTGGCTTCTTTTACATTAATAAAAATTATTTCACCCCAAAAACAGCTATTACATTTTTACAAAAGTTTATTATGTAAACACGTAAAAATTTGACAAGTTCATTAGATTATGCAACTGGTGTCAACAAAGAATGTGAAATACAATAAGCTGACAAAGTAAGAAGAAAGGTACTTACACTGTCTAGACTGTAAATTGGCACCATCCACAGAATCCTGTCATTACAAAATATATTTGTTTTTATTCAAAGCATTTTATTGCTACAGGGAATAACCAGCAGGAACACACATGAAGAGTTACCTTATGATTGGTTTCTGTAATTCAGGTTGAGTATAATGAACTAAATGTTGTAATATTCCCCAAAGAGATATTGGTATTGTCATCAATAAAAAGATTCCAGCAATAAACCATGCCTTAGTATGAATTCCAACCTTGAAGAACACAAAAAGAACAGAGGCACAAGAAATTACAATGAGAAATCTCAGAAAAAGTGGACAATATACCCTACAAAACCACAATCAATAACTTGCTCCCACTGAGCAGTTCCACTCCAAGTGTTTTATATTCCACGACAAACATGCAATACTAATTTATTTAATGTGTCTTCTCTTCTGTAAACAAAAATATGCAACTGAATCATAAGACACAAGATTTGAGTACAGATAAGGGTCTGATCTGGTATAACAAGTGTAATAGCAGCCTTTAGATGCAAACACCAGTAACAACATTAGTTTATCCAGAAATGAGCCAAAGAAATAAGCCAGCAACAACATTTAAGAGTGCAAGTCAGAGAGCATGGAACCAACACAAGAGGTTCCTTTATTTCCACATTATCCTACTCAATAAAGTATGTACTGCTTATGCCTGGGATATACATATATCTTCTTGGTAAATGTTACTGTATATAGATGGTCAATGTGCTATACAGCTTCAGGAGCCATTTTTGCTTATGCCACACAAATCCGCCTGAAGTAGAGGCAAAGGGAAAACTAGTTTAGTTAGCTTTTTCATAAAATACCTGTCTGTATTATGATTTTGGAACAGAAACAGCACTATGAATTAGAAATATATTATTAAATGTGATAAAGATTGTGAGTAAACTAGTTTTTTCAAGGCACAAAATTACCAATAATTCATTTAGTATCAAGGACTTAAGACTTACAGGCCACAAGTTTTCAATAAGAATAAAAACTGTTTCTACGTTTCCACTTCCCTCAACAGACTGTAAGGCTAAACAAGAAGTAGGGGAAGATGTCTAACAGAACAGACATCTTTGAAGGAGAGGAGTCATGTTGTCAATGCCTGCTTTTTTGCTTTCTTTCATTTTTTTACTGCTTTACTACCTGGTCTGGCAACAATGAGCACAAGGATTGCCATGACATTAATTGCAGGTGTGAGATGCACTGGTTCAGCACTCTTCTGTTAAAAACACATCCATCATTTAGAGCTATAAATTAGACCTACACAAAACTTACATAAAATCCAAAAAAAGCAAAAGCATCACATCTGATGAGAAGTAACAGGCAAAACCCTACCCTGCCCCAAGGGCTATATGTCAACAGTCCCATGAGAGATCCTGGAGAGGGAGAATATAGCATCTATAAACATGGCCCTACACACCAAGGAAATTATTTTCCATGTGTGAGAACAGTTTTTTTTTTAAATCTGGTAGTTATTTTAGAGCTCCATTTTTTCTAATTTTTCTAGCCCCAAGATCAAATATGCAGTCTATTGTTATTATAAGCCTTTCAGGAACCTAGATGTATATACATATACACCCTATATTTGTACACTTGCTGTTAACTGCTCAGAACCCTGAGATTAGGATGGTATACTAATTAGTACATGAAAGGTAACATCCTCACAGGATGAACCTGACAGTCACCTCATTTTATTTGTAGCTGCAAATAACCCCACTGCAACTAGAAAATCCAAATATGCTGCCAGCATTCTTTCCTTGATACAGACAAGAGGAATCCCCTTGTTCCGTCAGCATTATAGTCCTCTGCTTGAACATTCTTGCAGTCTCACTATATGGATACCTCAGCTCTGCATACCTCCTGTGGATCTGTTGGAGACAGCATATTTTCCATACCTTTGGCTAATCCCTCCTTCATATGAAGTTGCTTTATACAAGGTCAGAGGACTGGTCCACACTAAAAGCACTTTCTACACAGCTTCCATGAACCTCATAACCTCCAGATATTTTGGACCACAACTTCCATCATAGTTAACAACTACCATGCTGATGGGAGAACCAGGTTATGAAAGGCTGGTCCACGATAACCAGCAATGACTCTCCAGGGTTTCAGCCAGAAGTCTTCCCCAGTCCTTTTCTAGCAGCAGGACTGAACCTTGGATTCCCTGGATGTAAATATCCCTAAACTACAGGATTTATGCTAAACATCATTTATGCTACAATTTAGGCCACGAGGTCAAAGCCAAAATCTCTTAAGTGTTGTAGCCCGACATGATCTCAGGCTGCAGCAGTTTTGAGCATATGAGAATACTCCTTCGTGACAGCACCTCCGAAGCATGCAGGAGGTCTGTTGCCGGATTTAAAGAGAGTTTGCCGACCCGGTTACGGCATGGCCGCGACAATGGCAGGTCATCGCCTTTTGAAGGAAGGAGGTTTGACTGGGCCTGCTGCAGGTTAGCGCTTAACCGGCAGGGCTAGAGATATCCGTGATGGATGGGAGAACAAATACATCTCTCTTCCTCTCCCGAACGTTTCTGGGCCGCGTCTTCCTACAGGAAGACACTCCGCCCTCACAGGAAGACGCGGCCACTACTGCAGCTCCGCGCTCCCGGCGAGCAGCGACCCGGGCCGACCTTAACCGAGTGTCAACAAGGCTGTTTTCTTTCCGTAGCGACAGCCACTGACTGCAAAGCCAAGAGGGCCGAGGCGAACCCAGAAAGGGACGAATGGGGCTTTCCATTCTCCCCTGCTTGCACCGAGGAGGCGCCCCGGGGACTGCTTCTGATTGTTGACTCACGCTTTGGCTGCGCTTCGATTTCCCCCGGGAAAGAAGAGCCGAAACGAAGCTTCCCCCTGAAGCCGCTGCCCTCGACGCTCTCCCTCCCTCACCTCCAATTTCTGCATCTCCCACACGCAGAGCGGCAAGGCCACCATCAGCCCCACGATGTAGACCGTGGCCACCAGTGGCCGGATCCAGCGCCGCCAGTTCCCGCAAGTGCACGGCATGGTGCCGCTTGGCGCAGGAGCGCAGAAGGAAGGGGAAAGGGTGAGACGGAGTGAAGGGGTCCCTCAGCACCGCCTAGGCTGTCTCGGGACCCGCCACCGCGGGGTCAAGGGCCCACCCGGTCGGTCCCACAACAGCACTGCTGGGGAGAGAACATCATTGTCCACGCCCATCTGCCTGCCTGCCCGCTTGCCGGCCTCCTCGGCTCCTCTCTGGCAGCAAGGCAAGGTGGGAGCAGAAGGCTCCTCCCCGTCAGGCACCGCCGTCTTCCCCAGGCCCTTGACCCGCCCACAGACTCACTCGCGCCAACTCAAAAGCCCGAAACCAGCCGAAAGGCGCCGCCCCTTCTAACCTCTAAGCATCGTCTCATGAGAGGCGAAAGGTACTTCCGGTGCCTCAAAATAAACAGCCCGCCGCTAGCTTCTCGTAGGCGAGTCTTAAGGGATAGCCAAATCCTATTCAGCTAAAAGGGAAAATTGCAGTTCACATGTCAACGCTGTTAGTGGTCTTTCCCACCACTCTACTCCTCTTTCGTATTATCAACAATAGTACTTTCCATTTAAATTCTCGCTACCCGCGGAGCGAGCGACCTTCTGGATGCCTATGTTTTCCGGCCGTGCTTTAGCGGTGGAGACGGCATGCCTCACTGTGCAATCTTAGGTATGTTGTGACAAGAAAAATGCCTGCCACTCCCAACATCCCTCACCCAGCGTGGCTGCAAATGCTGGGAGTGACAGAGTTTTTTAATGCCTGAACATGCATAGGCTTGTGCCTGAAATCTCATTAATCTTAATGAAGTTCACCCTATAGTAATTTTTGCTTAGGAGAGCATGTTTTCTTTCTTTTTAAGAATGAGAAAGCACTTAGGATCTTGTGTTTGCTTTTTCCCGTAGAGATAAAATATACAGTCCCTTATTTTAAATCCTATCCTTTTCGGGTACTGGAGAAAAGAAGATGGTCCAGCCATCAGACTTACTTAAAAGTTGCAGTTGCTTGCAAGCTTACTACTCTTTGTACACTTACGTAGTTGTCTTTTTTGGGGGGTGTGGGAAAGAAGGATATTGCATTTATATAACTTTATATAACATTATATATTGTGTTCTTGATTTATGAGGCAATATGCACATCAAAGATTGGTTTAAATATTGAATGGATTTTAAAGTAAGAATTTGCAATATTTAATGAAGATTACTGGAAGAATAGAAAACTGCATTGACAGTAAAACACTATTGGTTTGAAAATATGTCTGTCTACACAAGATACGTATAATGAATGTAGAGTGTAATTAATGTTTTGATTGGTAAAATACAAAAATGTAAAATGGGCAGAATGAGTTCCTGCAGCATTAAAACTCATTTCTACCCATAAGCAGTGAAAACATCAAGTTTGGCTCCATTTTTGCAAACAACTACATGAACAAGGCCACTACTGTTTAATTCAGTTGACCCTGCTTACAAGCAGGGGGCCAGTAGCTAAATGAAGATGAGCAACATGCCCTCATTCAGGGCACAGAAAAGGTAAGGCTGATTTATTATTCCCATACACACACACACATGTGTGCGCGCGCAAACTTAAAATTTGGTTGTAGTTATTACTACATTTTTATCCCATCTTTTTTTTTCTTTTGCAAGTAACCCAAAATAGCTTATCTAATCCTTTTCTCCATTTTATCCTCACAACAACCTTGGAAGATAAATTAGGCTGAGAGTGAGACACTTTTCCAGTCACTCAATGAGCTTGATGGCTAAGTGGAGACTAGAATCCAGATCTCTTGGTCTAATATTCCAACCAGTACTCCACACTGGCTCTCCTTTTTTTCACTGCACACAACAAACTCTGGCTTCAGTTTGCACATAGGCAGATTGGTTTCTTTTGTACCTGGACAGATCACACAATTTTATAATTTCAGGAGTATCAAAGTTGGGATCTGCCAAGAGCATTGCTAGCTAATGCTCTGCAACTGACTAAGCTCAGTCTGTTACCCAGAAGCAAATGTTGTTGCATTGGAGTGTGCCTCCAAGTTAATTTTCTGGGAGTACAGTCTTTTGTACAAATAACAGGATTTTCTTCCCAATTAATATGCTTAAGATGAAGTTACACATTTGATGGATCAAAGAAGCCAAAGGATTAATTTAAAAAAAACAACATTAATCTTAATATCAAGCTGATATGGAAGGTCAATCCACATATGTACCTAAAAACTAAAATAGCTGGATACCTTTATATAACCCTGCATTTATTAGTTTGTAAGCTCAAACTTGGGGTGAAGTGGCAAAATACCCTGCTCTTTCTTTTTTACATGTGTCAGGTTAGATTGTGGAAGTCAGTTTTGGTCTGAATGAGGACAATAATGCTGGTAATGGATTGGATGAAACTTAATCAAGGCAAGACAGAAGTTCTAGTTAGTCAAAAGTCAGATCAGAGAGTAAAGATTCAACCTCATTGAGTCTCAGATGCTGCTCAGCTAGTCATTGGGAAACTGCTGAGCAACAAGAGATGATAGGGCATGTATCTGTAGAAGGACTTCATAAGCTCTTGTTCCATACTGTGTAGTTCTTTTTTGTAATATGTGAAAGGAGCTCATGTGGGAAAGATTTAAATTGATGTTGAAGGTTTCACTTGATGTTCAGTAACTGTGATTGCAAGCTATTTGGGGCTCATCACAGCTTTTTTCACTTTACCCAGTTCCCCCCTGAAAAAACAAAAGTCAGCTGTCAAAACGATGACGATGATGGTTTCGCAAATATTTTCAAAAATTGGGTGGGGACAAAAAAAATCTTTGGCAATGATTGGCAATCCCTCCAAGGTGCCTCTGGGGGCATTTTTAAGATATTGTTCATAGCTGTCAAAATAGGTTTGACAACTATCTTTTACATTCTACGGAAGAAAAAAAGGGTAAAGTTTTAAAAAATCAGCAAGTCTGAAATGGGTTGTGATTGTAGTGTGAAGTAGAGAGATAACTCAGTCCTCCTGTGGTATCCTCTGGGTATCCCTAGGGAGGAATGGAGTCCACAAGCCAAAGTAAGCCCAATCATCTTCCAGATGCACCATGGTTTGTTCACAGACAACAAGAAAATTCAAAAAATAAGCTATGGTAGGAAGTGGACAGTAGACATGGAGAGGTACTTAACCATTTCCCAGACTTGTTATTTCTTTACTCCAAACTACACCCGAAGTGGTTTTTCCCTCTGTAGAGTTTCAGCTATTTGCAAATTAAATGTAAAAGAAGAGATGTAAGCAGAGAACTGGCAGACAGGCAAGGTTAAGCACTCTACCACATTTCCATTCTCAATTGCACCTTCCTTTGGTACTTTTCTGAAAGTAAAAAAAAAAAAAGGCACTGATACATGTATTATACTTTCTGCATGCTTTGAATGAAGCAGCGTCATTGATTTAATGTGGATGTCTTAATAACATTTGGAGCCATCCATCAAGCGAAGGAGGTAACATTCATAAGCATTAAACTAGGCCTGGGCAACTTTTTTGGTGTGTAAGTACATGTGGCAATTCAGGGAATTGTCATGTGTGTCACCACAAAATGGCTGCTATAAGAGGCATAGCTTAAGACAAGCAACCTGCCCAAAAGACTAAGGTAGAGGTTGGGTTTCCCAGTAAGAAAATGTTATTTTATTCATTCACATGGGAAAGGCAGGATACTTTGGCAGGTGCCCAAAAAATTACCCATGAGCGTATTGGTACCTCAGGGCACCATGTTACCTATGCCTATACTTATCTCTACGCAGAAACTTAGAAAGATATTTTAGCATTAAGTTCAGTGTTACTTCCTGGATAGCACAAGTTCCCTCTTTAACAGGTTCTTGACAACTTCCTTTTCCAGTGTTAGCTACTGTCACATTTAAAGACATGAAAAGCTTAGGATTTGCTGTGACAATTTGCTGGCCTGCCATTCAAACCGGTGCAATCCATGTGTATGTGGTTGTGGATAGTCACTCTTTCTCTCAGTTTCAGAAACATGTTTCCTTTGTACAGAGTTACTCTGATATCTATTACTGTCACTTGGGGCAAATTTGGGACATTCTACTCTTGCTGTTACTAAGCTGACTGCCCTTTAATCATGAAGTCCTGCCACTGTAAATTATCATCTCTATTTTCTTGATATGGCACTGGGTCCATTCTGTTTATTTATTTGAAGTACAGGGGACACAAATTGTATTATGCAGCCAGAAGTCCAGGGGCTGTATAACACAAAAATGCTGGCCATAAAACAATCAAATATAAATAACTCACATGCAAGAAGCCCTTTAAAAGTCTCATCTGTCATTACTCTGACTTGTTAAAATGTTCAGAGAATGAGTGCAAATACTCTGGTGTTCAATGAGCTTATTTTGAAGTCTGGCCACAAGGTGCTCCAAGGAAGCATTGGTCCCGTTTTGTGGAGTCCAGTAATGTGAGTCTCTCCAAGGTTTCATCATAGATGCCTGGCAGCATAGGATAAATGACACACCAAACATCTGCTAAAATGTGATAAATCTTAGCTGTAATCTCAAGAGCAATGTAGCTCACTAAAAAGGGGGAAAGAGAAGAACACAAATTGTTTCACAGCCTTCTGAATTGTGTATGTTGTCAGGGCGTGTGTGGTTCCAGAGAGAAGGACTGTTTGGCCCCATTTTTAAGTAATGTAAAGAAATAAAATCCTACCTGTGGTGACACAAGACAATGTTTATTGCTGCTGGGTGGTTACTATGTCCTTAAAAACAGCAAAAAGAAAAGAACATTCTGAACTGCTGTCTAACACTCTACTGCTGTCTAAATTAATGCCAAAGTCATTCCAGTAGATACTTAGAGCCAGTGGGGTGAGGTGGTTAGAGTGTTGACCTGCGGAGACCTGGGTTCAAGCTCAGTAGCTAACTTTTGTCTAGTCATGACTCTACCTGCTAGTTTTGTTGCAAGAACAAAATGGAGAGAAAGATCACTTACGCTGCCTTGGACTCCTTGGAAGAAAAGCTGGATTAAAATTTAAAAAATAGATAATAAAGGGTTGTAGTATTCACCAAAATCAGCAGAGTCACAACTGGATCCTGATAATTCTCTCCTTGAAATCTTATTTAACCTGCAGATGTACAAGCAGTTATTTAATTACATCTATATCCCACCTTCCCTCTGAGAAGTTTGAAGCAGCATACATGGCTCATTCCCCCACCTTGTGTTTCATCCTTACAACAACCCTCTGAGGTAGACTAGGCTAAGAGATAATAAA